AATTGTTTGAGTTYTGTCGTGATGTGCCAATTGTGTAAGCGTCCGTTGCCGCATTAATTATCTCATCCACGACGGGTACGTCCAGCGTCACCGTTGCCGTAGTGGGACTGTCCAGCGGTTTGCTGAGCATTTCACAGCTCTGTAWCGCTTCTAGATGTGGATACACTTGCGGTGTGTGTAGTGAATCTTCGTCGGCATGCATCTCCACTGAATCGAGTTGGCGTATAGGTGTCTGTCCATTGTGTTGTTCGCAGGCGCGTCGAAAAGTCTCCTCGAAGGGATTGACGTGTTGTAGATCTTCGAAGAGTCCCACTTCTTCACAATTGCGTATGAGGCGTGTTGGTGTCGGCGTCTGGTCGGCTGCTTATAAAAATAATTATTTACGTAATTTTCAAACACAATTCACCATCAACTACTTACAGCCCGCAAAGAGATTTTCGGTTTTTTGGTCGTTTAAACTCAAATCTAACATCATGTCGTGCTTTTTCTCACGTTCACATTCACTGCCACAGTCAAATACCTTATCGGTAGACAATTCCATGTTCCTGCTGTTCGATGACGTCCCAATCCAGTTGCGTATTTTAGTATTTTTGTGAGGAATTTCCTGCACAATTTCACTTTTGTTATTATTCTTTTTTATTATAATTCCCCTTTTACATGGTATTCTTGAGTAGTGTTGTCGCAAATCGAACAGCAATCATATGTGTGTATTCGGTTTTTATTCTGAATAAATTTGGAATGAGTAATTGTTTTCGTTTTTTTGTAGTGAAAGAAGCCGTAGTAAATGCAAAATGTGCGTTTTTGGAATGTGTGTATATATTTTTTTTTTTTTTTATTTTATTTTATTTTATAAAAGCTTACATAATAATACAATTATTATACAAACTTAAGAAAATACGCAGCACTAGCATCATGGGCTACGTTGTGTATATATTGAAATGTTTAAAGTCTTGATTTGTGGTTAACACGTGTTACTTTGAAAATCGAACTTCAACATAACCTATAAAACATGTACGTTTTCAAAATCTTGGTATTCAAAAGTTTTGATAATTGCATGGTGTCCCGCTATATTAGCGTGACTTTAGAATTGATAACATTATTTTACTCCTTTTTGCAAAATGGCAGCTCATTGAAAATGCGATAACTTCTCCTTTACAAATTCGTTCGTATGTGTGTACATATGTATCTTCGAAACTATTTGCGGGATMAACTTATAATTTTCGGAGAATATTTGGTTACATACTTTATATTTATATGCAAAAAATCGATTTCAGWAGTGGATTAATCTCTTAATATAAGTGCTGGTTTACACACGGACGTTTTTGGCGCCCAAACCTGGTTTTTGTAGACAAGAAGACGACGAGGAAGGTTCTTTCATGGTTGCATGTTCGGAAATATTAATGTTATTATCGATTTTTTATATGCGATATGCAAATATACATAATATAATGGAAGTGTATTCGAGAAGAATAAATAAGGATAAAACACAAAAATCAATCAGTAATCAAAAATATTTCTGTTTATCGCGTACGACGAACGTGAAGCGTACAACAATTTGAGAATATGATGAAAGAAAAATTGTCCGATTCAAATTCTCGGACTCGTGTTRTTCGTGTGAAAGCAACGAGCGACATCAAATAGACTTTGCCGATAATGAGCGACAAAAGAGTCCCCGTCTAAAACCTTGTAATTCATTTATCGAGACTTGACTACGAATAGTATACACACATACACACCTGCTCGAAATAATACTTACACGATAAAACTTAGTACTCTCAACAGTTTAAAAAACTTTTTATGGGCTGWRTGCTACAAGTTATGCTGTAAGTTTAATTAAGATAATATGGCATCGCCCTTTCTAAGAGAGTGAAGCATGTGATTCCCCGAATTAATGCGTGTGTCAGTTTTGCGTGATTTCACAAAAAAAAAATTGCTCAATATAATAGTTACACATAAGTGAACTTAGCTTTTTCCGAAAACAAAATTAATTTTATCCAGTTTTTCAAGTTTTTTTTTTTTATCTGAATTGGTAAGTTTTCTTTCAATAAAGCTCAAAATGCTGCAGATAAATTAAATTGTTATTTAATCAGATGGGTCGGAAGTCACATTGGAACATATTGGAAATGTAGTAAGTGCCCAAACAGTTCGCAGGCGTTTGCAAAAGCCCAAGCTATCAGGACGTGTAGCCAGGAAAGTTCCATTAATGCGATCAAAAAATTTAGATATGAGGTTAAATTTTGCAAGAAGTCATTTAGATTGGTGTGGACCTGAGGGAATAAAAAAGTGGAGAAACATCTTATGGAGCGATGAAACGAAAGTAAATTTGTTTGGAAACGATTGTGACAGAAATGTGCGTCGTCCAAAAGCAAAGGAATTTCACGTTCGATTTACAAAAAAAAACTATGAATCATGGAGAGTTGGAAACGTCATGGTGTGGGGATGTTTTTCTTGGTATGGAGTAGGTCCTATATACCGGACAACTAACAAAATTACAGCGTCGGAGTACAAGGAAATACTTGAAAATGTCATGATACCCTGCGCTGAAGAAAACTTACCATTACGTTGGGTATATCAGCAAGATAATGACCCAAAACAAACCTCCAAACTGGTTCAAAAATATTTTGATGATAATAAGGTTAACGTTTTGAAGTGGCCAAGCCAATCCCCGGATTTAAATCCAATAGAAAACCTATGGGGAAAACTAAAAAAAAAAAATTGGCGAGTCAAGCTTTCTCTAACAAAGACCAGTTATATGAGTGCATACAAAAACTTGGTATGAGATACCTAAAGAAACCTGTCAGACTTTAATCAGTGCCCAAACGAATAAATAAAGTAATYCAGAATAATGGTGGATATACTGGCTATTAACTGAGTAATGTTAAATATACAACAAAACTATTTTATCATAATTTGTTTTTCCAAAATAATTGTCTTATTAAAAGTGTACCTTTTTCTTGAGCAGGTTTATTTTAGCTATGAAATGTTTTTGGATCTATAATTGTTTGTTTTACTTTTTTTTAAATGAAGTATATTTAAATAAGAGTGTAAATATTTGAAAAATATAACTATGTTTGCATTTTTCTTAAAAATTTAAATACAACTTTTTATTCATGAGCTTTACTTGAAAAAGTATTGTGTAACTATTATTTTAAGCAGGTGTGTATCTCATGGATCATGAGCGTGATAGTATCCATCTTTCTTAAAGTTCATTTAAACCACTGAAAGGGTAATTTCTTGGTCCTATTCCAAGGACAATCGCCTTAAGCTCTTAATATATTTCTTGTAACTGTATACTCATTATACGATACCTAAAACTGATCGAGAGAAAGATAGTGTTGTATATATGGTATATATGTACAWATGGACCACTGCCACGCCTACAAAACGCCATTAATGGAAAACCTATAAATTACTATAACGTAAACACTATATGAAGATATAGAACTGTAATTTGGCACAGGATCGCGGTAGCAAGCGGCATGACCCCATTTTTAAAGCTTCAATAATTAAAGGCTAAAAATTAAAAGTGCGATAAATCAATAACTAAGTACCTAAAGACATCAAATTTTACCTCCGAGACGGTATCAGAGGGCTTTAAAAGATCCGGGTCTAAAATTGGAAGATTAACGTGGTGTGAAATCCCATATCCCAGGACTTGCCAGACTGATTTCAACAAAATTTGGTGCGTGACATTCCTCTGACACTCTTATGACTCTTAGAAAATGTGCCAAATCGGGCTTGAACTATGTCTACTCCCGATATAACATAATTTTTAATTTCATTTGATTCCTTCACTTTTTAGGAAACAAATCAAGAAGAAATTAATATAACGACATAAAACTTTGTACGAAAAGTGCCGTTGAAGTACTTATGTCACCTTATGACCAAAAATAGTAAAACCGAACTAAACTTGTTCAAGCCCCTAGATACCGAATATATGGACCCAAGTACCTATAGTTAACTTTTTACCGTAAATATTGGTCAATCTATTAGATATGTATATAAGTGAAATTTGGAGAGAATAATTATTAAATTTCGCGCGAAAACCGATTCGTCGAAATATTTTCTTTTTAGGTTTGTATGGCTGTCAGTGACATCTGTACCAAATATCACATCATAATAATCTTTAGTGTTTAGTATTGTCTTTYTAATGTACATAAAGTGCATYCGCCGATTTTTACAATGGATGAAATTATTCAAGAAATAAGTTCCATTAAATKTTGTGTGCGGGATCAAATTTCAGGTGCTGAAACATTCAAATGTTGGAAAAGACTTGCGGTGATCACGAGCAAATGTTTTCAATTGGTTTGAATTATTAAAACTTGCTTAATTCAAATGATGTCATACCTTAAAACTTATAGCGTCGAGCAAGAAATTTTATTTTCCAAACATACTACATAAAATGTATACTACATAAAATGCGTTTTCATAATGTAAAGAAGTCGATAACAATTCTAACGTCAGTTTTTTTATGGTTTTGTTTTTGCTGTTTTGTATTATATTTCTGCGCTGTGTTAAATAGTTGCTAATGTCAGCGATGACAGAGTTTGCTGCCCAAAATGCCGTCATCACATATGAATTTGTGTCGCGCCCACATTTTCAAGTTCCCATATACATACATACATATGTATGTACATACGAGCAATAGACCAAAAATTGTAAAATTTCTGAAAACAAGCTGTACTGGTATTGTTTGTTTTTATTTTTATTTCATTATTTAGCGTTGAATTAAAAATGTAGAAAATTAGAAAACATAAAGTAGAGAATRGCTGCGTTGGAGTCTGCTAAGTGACGGCAAGGAAATTAASGTATTAATTAGTCGACAAATAAGCTTACAGCAGTAATACATACATATGTATATACAATGGTATATATATATACATATGTATATCTATCTGTTTATTTTACATGTATTTTTGATCTAAGAAATAGATAATTAAAAAAATTTTGTAAATATAATTTTAAAAATATTTTTATTTTATAATTTATATGTATATATAAGTAGATTAGTTATATAATATATAATCATATATTAATAATTTAAAAATGCATATATAAAAAATGCTTGCTGCATTAGGGTGGGCACACATTGCTGCCATAGAATTAAACAAACAAAAAAAAATCTTATTTTGGTTTTTTTTTCGATTTTGTACTCATAACGCATTTATACATTTATGTATGTACCAAAAAATATATGGCTAGGTACATAGGTATATTATGTATTTACACAACAACGCCATGTGGTGTCGCAGACTGACTATTCCGCAATTGATGGAAGTAGGAGTAGACGAGATATGAGCAGTAGCCGAAAATCACTAAAAAAGAAGAGACATTTYAAATTAAGAACAGAAAAATGTTTTCTTTTGTTTTAGAATAACAACAACTAGCAACTACATATTATGCCTGTTATACGGAAACTCTTATCAGAGTCTTAAMATTTTATTCCAGGAATATATATGTATTTCGTTTCTTAATAAGTTTATTTACCCAAAGCCAGTATATATTCGAAGAGTATGAGAAATACATTGTCGAAGAAAGCAGCTGCGCGATAATCGCCATAATTGAAAATTACTCCCAAAACTGCGATGGGCCAATGTATGAAGAACAGCACGGCAACGACAAGCCAAGCTAAGACCAGCCAGGCGTTGCTCTGTAAATAATTTGTTCAGAAATTAGAAATCGGCTTTTTATTCGTTTTATTCTCATTGCTAAAAAAGATATATGTATATACTACTTACCCACAAAACACCGAAAAGCAGCGCCAAATTGGCAAGCAGCTCAATTATGAATCCTACAAGCGAAGAACTGCTGTGTAAATCTGAAATTTAAGTAAATGGTAAAAAAATATATTATTAATAGCAGATGTATGYTCTTTGAACGGTTTTAATCTAAAAAATGTAATACTTTAAGTACTGAAAGTTTGAAACAAATTTAAAGTGATACGTTTAGTCAACTTCTACACTTCCAGTATTCTGTTATATCCTTGAAACATGTTGCTACTTGATTTGAAATCTGCGTGACTGTCCGTTTTCAAACGATAACCTGAGCAAAAATTAAGATTGCTTATAAAAATTGGCACACGTGTTTCTAGGCAAAAAAGTGAGGACGTGTTCGTAGATGGGCKTAATCGGACCATTGCCACGCCCAACTTTAAGAGGTCTACATCCAATTTATGGTCGTCATGATCGTCCTGTCAGATGATCCGGATTTTCATCGAAATGTCATCTTCAGCGACGAGGCTCATTTCTGTCTTAACGACTACGTCAAGTAAAATATGCGTTATTGGTMAGGCAGCAATCCCCATGTACCCCTTGAGTCACGATTGCATGCCGGAAAAATTTCAGTTTGGTGCGGTTTATGGGTTTATTGAAAATCTGCCTCGGTTGTGCTATTTTACACTGTTACACTATTTCCTGTGTTGATACTATTCAGTTAAGTCTATGGGCTATGCCAACAAGCCAACGACGATTGGTGAACTTCGTACGCATATGGAACGTGAAATTAAAGCGGTGTCGGCCGATTTACGCTTGAAAGCCGTAGAAAATTGGATTAAGCGTCTGGACTTCTGCAAGCATGCTTTTGGTGGCCATGCTTAAAGATGTCGAGTTTCATATTTAATAGCATCGAATGTACTTTCACAGGAATAAATAGTTTTGTTTGGAATTTAATCGAGCTTCCCCCTCAATTTTTTGACGATGTTTTTCACCGCTCGGCTGTTARATACACTAGTTATTCAAGTATAATTATTCGAGGACACAGATTTCCATATCTTCGATGTCAGATTTTTGGGATTCTTGATGCGTGACATAGAATTTAAGTCTGGTACCTGTGCTTGGCGAAGTACATACGRGTATGTATCTCATAAAGAGGCATACTTTTCAACGTGAAAATATTTACGGCAGTCTTAGATTGATCAAATAATGAAGTGAATATGCTAGAGGTGGAAATAATATTTAGATTTTTTGGAACCCAGCATATTAAAAACCCATTACTTTTAAAATTACGCTGAAAGTGTATCAAACCTGATATGTGTCAGCAAAAAAAAGCTACGCTACAAAATTAGTCATCAAAACTTTTAAGMAATAACAATAAAAGTGCCGCATAATGAGATCAACCAAAAGCAAAAATAAACAACAAAAAACTCTGATCAAAATGATGTCAACAAAACAGACGAAGGCAATAAGCAAAACGCGAAACAATTGACAATACACGATTCACTCAGAAAATGTACAAAAATAACGAGAACTTTTAAATGTGCCTTACCTCACCCACAACACATTGATTGCGGTTTGTTGTTGTAGTCAAAGTTCTCTATCGGACTACTATAGCTATAGCTACCATACAAACTGATTCCATAAAATCAAGACCTTGGCGTGAATTATTATACAAGGCAACGGTACACAATCTCCGAAGAAATTGTTCAGATCGGACTACTATAGCATTCAGCTGCCATACARACTGAACGATCAGAATCAAGTTCTTGTATGGAATCTTTTGTATTGGTGAAGGCTTTGTGCTGCCTTCCACCCAAGATGTCATTCTCTTGGTTTTTTTTACGATTTACTCAAGTAATTAAATTCGATACCATTCGCTTTTATTTTTGTGCTCTTTGGAAGCTCAAGCAGATCAGTAATTTCTGTTTATTGTTGTTTTTACTCTTTTTTTTACTATTTACTCTATGATTTTGTCATTTAGTGTGGTTTGTTTTGCATTTTTCACTTACAACTCGGTCGCGCTATGACGCCCAGCACCAGCATGACCAGAAAGAATATCGATATGCCCAGGCAGGCATTACGCAGGCTGACATTGAATAGCGCTTTGTCCGTAACGTATTTGGCCATCTTCGCACTTTTGTTTACAAAAACTGGTTTTCAATAGAACAACAAAGTTTTCTAGAAAGAATTATTTCTAATTTCCACTGAGGCAAAAGAAAAAAAAAAATGAATACCTCACACTTATGTATACCGGTTTGCGCGCGTTTCTCGAAACAATCCGTACGCGTTCGCGTTCACAACAGAGACTRATCACTGTGGCAAGTGAGTGAGATCGCTAAGGTGGTTGTCTCGTTTGGAATGAATGCTTGTGAACACACATACAATGTCATCGCTGGTTTTCATCTATCTCCATATATCTAGAAATGCATATGTGCTCAGAACTTGAGCTCTAGAAGCGGCGTAAGCTCTCTATTTTAGATGTGTGATCGTATAACGATGACCAGTTTTAAAGATAAAAGGTGTCACAAAATGTGCTGC